AAACTTTATATGAACAGGACTTTTCTTCTTCATGCTATTATTAACAATTCATCGCCTCATTGTGTTTTTCCTACACTTATTTGCTTAGCTATTGTTTTAATTTAAAATGCAGAGAAAAAACTTTTTGAGTAGGTCCCATTTGTTGATTCTAGTTATTAACTCTTGTGCTATGGGTGTCCTATTGAGGAATTTGGAGCCCGACCCCACAGTATGTAGATTGTAGCCAACTTTTTCTTCTATCAGATGCCGTGTCTCTGATTTGATATCAAGCTCCTTGAGGAAGGAGACCCTCAGGGTTATACAAAATTACATACAAGAGGAAGTGAGGGGAAAGGGAAAAAAAAACAAGGGGGAGAAATGAATTACAGTAGAGGGGGTAGAGAGAGAAGAGGGGAGGGGAGGGGAGGGGAGTGGGGATAGTAGAGGATAGGAAAGGCAGCAGAATACAACAGACTAGTGTATATTGTATATGGCAATATGTAAATCAATGGATGTGTAACCTATGTGATTCTGCAATCTGTATATGGAGTAAAAATGGGAGTTCATAACCCACTTGAATCAAAATGTGAAATATGATATATCAAGAACTATGTAATGTTTTGAACAACCAACAATAAAAATTATAAAAAAGATATAAACAACAACAACAACAAAAAAGAAAATAGAGTTGGAAATTTCCTTCTGCAAAAAGTTTTTTAGTTTTACTGTATGCTTTCCAGAACCAATACAGTCCTTTCAGATTTAAAAAAATAAAATAAAATAAAATAAAATGCATGACTCAAATAGTTGTTGAATAAGCTTTTTAAATTAAAAATACTGAATTAAAAGATATAGTTTATCTATAGCAGGAAAATAAACTGGGTAATTCTCATTGGATCAAAAAACTTATTTTAATTTTAGAATGTTTACCGTTTAGTTTATATTCACAAAAATCTGAATCAGAATTACATGCTAACAATGACATCTCAATAGATGATATATTTTGTTATCAGACAGTAAGTCTGGTGATTTGGAACAGCTTATTCAATGTCTGAAATTCTCAGACCAAGTGAAATAGAGATCAATTATATAGAAATGTAGCATTCAAACATCATAGTCTTTTAACATCTCAACAAGGCTTTTATATTTTATGATACCTTTTTAAAATCTTATACATGGATTTATTTCATAGTACTTCTAGGTATTTATTAATACATTGTAATTATATATAATATTGGGCATTTTTAAAAGAAAGCCTCTAGCACAGATGGAAAACAATAGAGATGGGTGTCTTGCCACATCTGTTGAGAAGCATCAGTAAGAGTATAAGAAAATTTATGATTTAAAAGATTTGATTGATGCATAAGGCAATTTGAAATGCTATTTTTTTTATCAGTGGGAACAGGAGGCCCAAGAACAACAACACCCAGTAGGGGGGAGGTCAGCACACCCAGGGAACCCAGCACTGGAGCTACAAGCACAGGAAGTTCAGGTAAGCCAGGATGTGCTCTTAATGCCTATGAAATGGGTACAAATTTGAAAGCATCTAGACTGTTGGATAAATCATGAAAATGTTCAAAAAAGATCAAAATTTTGCCTTGATCTCCCAATCTCCCTCTTTAGAGGAACTAGCATATGTTGCAAGCAATGCTACTGTGTTTATCAGGTACAACAGGAGAGGCCCTGGAAGTGACCTCAGGAGTAGTCAGGGACAGAACATCTGGACCACCAGGCACTGGGGCCACCAGTGCTGGAAGCCCAGCAGGTAAGACAGAAACTACTTAGGGGTTTATGATGGGTCTGTTGTGTGCTTTGTCAGGATCCCTGAGTGTTAGAATGGGATGGAGGAAAGTTTAAAAATAGAGAACGGTGAAGGAACTAATAAAACTATGAAGTGTCCTTCAAAGTACATTTCCTTCTTAGACTTTCTGTATACTAAGCACCATTCTTCCCATTAGCAACAAGTAGAAGAACAGAAACATCTGCCACCATCTCTGCTGGTGAGAACACATCTGCAGGAACAGGTAATGAAAGAGCATGAGCATCATGAAAGCCAGGCAGTAGACATAAGAGCTGTTTGCTCAAAACCTAGTCAGAGACAGGGTTTCTTAGGGATCTGATCTTCGTTATTTATATGATGCCAAGTGTCCAGAAGATCAGAAATAGACTATTAGATATTTGTTTTGTACTTACCATTGTATTAGAAACTTTGTGGAAAATAGGATATGATTGGGAAGCATAGGTGTTCAAAGAATAAGTAGCACAGCAATGAAGAGGGGAAAGTGGAAATATGATCTTATTATTGGACAATTCTAATAATGAGAGATAAGGACTTGGATGTTTAACCTTGAATTTTCTACATAAATGTTACATTTTATTAATAATGAGTATCTTAACCAAATTAGTGCATTATCAAAGTTAGCTGATCTACCTTATTTACCTGGAGAAACACTTAAGATGTCTGTGAAATTAATAGGGTACACATATCCATTCTTTTAATAGCAATAAGTATACTTCAGTCCCTATTCATAAAGACCCTCCTTTTTGTTTTCTTAAGCTGACTTTTTTCCCCTGATAAATATCAGGCACACCTGGAGCATCATCTGGAACAACCCCAGAAGCCCAAGGAGGTAGCACCCCTGAAGAATCAAGCACTAGAGCCACAGGTTCAGGTGAGGCCCACCAGTTTGGATGTAATTCCTTAGGAGCTCCTATCCATGCTCTCTTGTAGTGCATACAGATCTCTAGTTATCAGGTCCCAACTGGGATTATACAGCTGAAAGATGAAAACATCATATCATTCATTTTCTTTTTCCTGGGAAGACCCAAATATCCATGCAAAGGGCAGAAATAATGTGGACCCCCTGCTCCCAACTGGTTCTTGTTTCAGGAACCACAGGGGTGTCTTCTGGTTCATCCACTACTGCCAGCCCTGGAGACTCAGCTACACCTTTCTCAACCTCTGCTAGTAGCAAATCAGGTAAGATATGAAAGCAAAGTCTATAAGTAAACTGTAAAATGGAGAGTGTAAGTATGTCCCAATTTCTATTCTCTGGATTGGGTTAACAAACAGAAAGTACAAATGTTAGGGCATGAAACTGCTGGATAAATGATGGAAATGTTCAGAAAGATTGAAATTTTATCTAGGATATCCCAAATTTTCCCTTCAGAGGAACTAGCATATGTTGCAAGCATTGCTACTGTGTTTATCAGGTACAACAGGAGAATCCTTGGGAGTGACCTCAGGAGCAGGCAGTGTGAGCACACCTGGACCATCAGGCACTGCAGCCACCAGTGCTGGAAGTCCAGCAGGTAAGAAAGGGCCTACTTAAGGTGTTATGGTGGGATCTAATGCAAGTTTTGTCAAGATCCCTTAATGTGAGATTGAGATGAAGGAAAGGTAACCATGGAGAACATTGAAGGAACTAATGACTAGAATAAAACTACAAAGTGTCCTTCAAAGAGTGTTTTCTTCCTAGACTCTTCATACATTAATAAGCACCATTCTCCTTCCCATTAGCAACGACCACTGCCTCTGCTGTTGAGAACACTTCTGGAAGAACAGGTACTGAAGGAGCATAACCAGTGTGAAATACAGACAGTAGACATGTGAGCTTTGTGCTCAAATTTAGTCAGAGACAAGGTTTCTAGGGGAATCAATTATCATTTAGATGATGCCAAATCTCAGAAATATATTGATAAGCAGTCTGTAGTGTTCAATATATTTTTAGAGTCCACTGTGAAATTAATGAAATGTAGACTACAACTGATCCCACACAAGTCAATCTGTGAAGGGTGAAATTAACAACCGTGCAGATATAGAAGACAAGAAATAAGTAGGACAACAATCAATAAGAAAAGATGCACACTGAATCATAAGAAAATGGTAGGAAATAGAGACAAGAACAACAATGTTTACTCATAATTTTTCTATATGATTATTGTATTGGTTAATGACAAATATGTTAATGGGACAGTGCATTATTGGAGTTACCTGATTTATCTTGATAAAGAATTTAAGAGATTAGTGAGGATTATAGGATAGATGAGTGCATTTAACAAGAAAGCATATTTCAAGACATATTTGTAAGACCCTCTTTTAATTTTTCACTTTTTTTCCTCTCATTAAATATCAGGCACCCCTGGAGCATCATCTGGAACAACCCCAAAAGCTCAAGGTGCCAGTACCCCTAATCAAGCAGGCACTGGAGCCACAGGTTCAGGTGAGGTCCACCAGATTGGATATGATATATCAGCAGCTATGATCCATGCCCTCCTGTAGCAGGTGCAGGTCTGTAAATCAGGCTTGAATTGGAATTATGTTGCTGGCCTAGAAAGGTTATGAGGATATTTTCTTCATTTTTTTTTTAATTCTGGAGACTCAATCATTCAAGTTTACAGGAATAATATACTTCCCCCTCATGCACCTAGTCTTGTTTCCAGGGACCACAGGAGTGTCTGCAGGCTCCACCACTGCCAGTCATGAGGACTCAGCTAGACCTTTCTCAACCTCTGCTAGCAGCAAATCAGGTAAGTTAGAGGGAGAAGTCCATGAGTGTGCAGGTATAAAATGGAATGTGTTTATATGTCCCAGTTCTTTTCTATGGAGTGTGGTTGAGTAGAAAGAAGTAGGAAGGGAATAAAGAATGGGAGGGCAATTCTTGACCAACAGTTTATCAGGTTGCAGTGTACTGAGTGGATTAGATGATCTTTCTATACTGAATTATAATTGTAAGAATCCCTGCTTGTGCTTACATTTCATAATAATTGTAGGACCTCTGATCTGGAGCCTCTGAGGCTGTGATTTTTGAGTGGGGCCAAGGTTTACTCTACTGGCTACAAATTAGAATTGAATACAGAAATTTTTAACACTTTTCCTTCTCAGACTCATTGAATGTAGAATCACAGAGAAAGGGCCCAAGCATACATATATTGGAAAGCCTCAGTTGGTGCTAATATACAGACTAGATCAGAATAACTGGGCTCAAATATATGAACATTGAAGAAGTAGATAATAAGCAATATCATTTGCAACTAAAGTGATTTACCTCACCTAACGATTCTAGTCATAAAAGGTTTATGATAACTTTTAAAAAGATTGAAACATAAATGGAGAAACATATACAAATAAGTGAAAGATATTTTAAAAGTAGGAAGCAGCATGTTCTATACCACTTCATCAAAGATAATGATATTATTTATTGTTTATTTTTAAAGGCACTACTGGACCATCAGTTGGTACAACAACCAGAGCCCAAAGCAATGAAGAGACATCACCTGAAGTACACTCAGGTGAGCGGAGGATGGTGTTCAGAGGTCCTGGCTTTGGTCAAAATGAAGAGTAATTTGTGGGAATCCTGCTTATTTTAATGCAAAGTAGTTGAGATAAAAATATGAAAACCTATTTGACCTAATTCTAGATGTAGGAAGATATTTTTGTTTAAAAAAAATGCAATAAGTAAACCAAATGTTCAAGAAAATAATCATAGAACAAAATCATATGCAACTATGGGCAATAAGTTACAGGATTCATTTATTCAGTTTTTACATATTAGAAGTAAAAGAACTGTTGGATTACCCAATTATAATAAGGTTCAAGTAGACTTTAGGTGAGAAGTTCCTTTGGTTTTTCTCAGGTACTACTGGAACTTCAGTTCCCATCACCTCCACAGCTGGAAGTACAAAAACCACACCCCAGCTGAGCACCAGCTTTACCAGTCCTGGGGATACATCAGGTAAGCTCAGTTCAGAGCAATTATACTGACCCCAGCTAAAAAAACTAGTTTCAGACATTGCTGTTCAGATAATGTTTTGCCAAATCGATTACCAGACTTAGGTGATCTTTTTATTTAAAATTTAATACCATTAGTCTTTTAACAAGTTATTTTCTTAAATAATATCATGTTACAGTTACATGTTCCCACTATCTGATAGCTGGAAGCCCCAGTGAAGCTTTTTTAGATAGGTATTTCAATTTTTTTGAACTTCATCAAGGATAACTAGAATGTCACCAGGTATAACTTCGGGAACCAACAAGAGACTTAGAAGTGACACAGCTTCCAAGCAGGTAAAACAAAGATATGAGACAGAGCCTATATTCCATGTTGGCACTTAACATTTCACCTCAGCAATAACTCTTCTCTGAGTCCAGCCTTAGATAAATTGGTCAATTCCATGATTTTGGAAATATTCAGTAGTTAGTATTTGCAGTTACGTGAAACATCAATGATGTAGTTTTGTGGCCCGTTAAATTGTTTGATTGACTCTCAAATATTTTCTTTGTAATTTAGTCAAATTTAACACCATTGATTTTATTTGTTGTTATTTCCATGAGATGAAAAAATAACAAAAGTTCTCAAGCTTGCAAAGCCTAGTTCAAATGTGGATTGGGCATTAGCTGGCTCCCCAATTCTGTGACCTATACGTAAGAGCTCACTCCCAACAAAAAACAAGGAATATGCCTGTGCATCCTTGATGAAATTCAATCACTGTTGGGTCCAGGAATATAATATTATTAACAGTATTTAAGGTAGATAATTCAGATTGAAAACTGAAACAACTAAATTTTACAAATGTCTTTCATGCCATTGGTTAAACTCATTTAGACTTCAATGTGCCTTTTCCTTGCATTCCATTTTCCTGTGTTTTATTCAACTGTTAAACCCTTTTCACCAGTCCTTTCAGTCCTCTGCCTAGCTTTCCTTCTTCCTCTAATACGATGGTGCTCACAGTGTGGTTTCTGGTCCAGCAGCATCAGAATCCTGTGGAAACTTGTTAAAAGTGCACATTTCTGGGTTCACCAACCTAGAATCAGAAAGTATCCGGTGGAGCCCAGCAGACTTTGTTAACAAGTATTTTGGGGATTGATGCTCAGTTGCAGAAGCACTTCTCCACATTTCCCCCTCTTTTCCAACTTCCTTTCCAGTTTCTATGCACATCAATGTCATCTCAGAATGACATTCCAAAATCTCAAGAATCAGCTTCTCTCTGATCTATTTAAAATGCTTCAATAGTTCTGATTGCATTCAATGTAAATCAAAATGTTATTATTGTCAAGAGGCATTTTTTTATGATTGCCCTGATGTTCTTTTATGCATTTATTAATTTGAACACACCATTGTTCTATAGTTCCTCTATTTTTTCCAAGCTATTGTTTTGATTTAAATTTTATGAATTAAATTATGTTTTAAATATACTGCATTTTCAATTATAGTTACTGGATTAAAATATATAATTTATATATTACAGGGGTATTTAAAAAATCGGTTAATCCAATTAGGTCTGTAAAATTATTGAAATTAGACTGGACCAGTTAGTTTATTTTTAAATTTTTTTTTATTGACTAAAATACACAGTTTCTTCATATTTCCTTAGATTTTTACATAAGATCCTTTTTTATTCTAGAACCCCACCAATAACACCCCATTACAATTAGGTTTTTTTTTAATTTAAAAAGGTTTTTTGTGTTATTGATTTTATTTTTTTAAATACATTAGAGTGGAATGCATTACAACTCTTATTACACATAGAGTACACTTTTTCATATCTTTATATATACAATATGTTCATACCAATTCATGCCTTTATACATGTACTTTGCTTTTTATTTTTTTGCATTACAATTCTTATTACACATATAAACCACAATTTTTTATATCTCTGTTTATATATAAAGTATGTTGACACCCAATTTGAGTCTTCATACATCTACTTTGGATAATGATGTCCATTACATTCCGCCGCCCTTGCTAATCCCCTGCCCCCTCCCTTTCTCTCCCTCCCCTCTTCCCTATCTAGAATTCATCTATTTCTGCCATGCTCCCCCTCCCTACCCCACTATGAGTCAGCCTCCTTATATCAGAGAAAACATTCAACCAATTAGATTATATTCACAAAAATCTGAATCAAATATACTTGGGTAATAATGAGGTCTCAATGAGTAATCTCCTGGTTATCATACAGTAAGTACAATGATTTGCAAAAGGGCTACTCAAAATTTGGTGCACAAATGTGTGGCTCCAGAGTGTGGACTCAAATTTTGTGATGTGATGAGAAGTGAAACTGAGGGCAAACATTTGAAAATATAGCATCTTGTCACAAAAATCATTTAACTGTTGAATAAAAGCTTGGATAATATATGACCTTGTTTATTAAAATTTTAATTCTATATTAATACTATGGGATTTTTTTTTTTTACAAGAATGTCTCTATGGGCTGGGGATGTGGCTCAAGTGGTAGTGTGCTCGCCTGGCATGCGTGGGGCACTGGGTTTGATCTTCAGCATCACATAAAAATAAAAAAAATAAAAAGATGTGTCCACCAAAAATTTAAAAAAAATAAATATTTAAAAAAATGTTCTCTCTCTCTCTCTCTTAAAAAAAAGAATGTCTCTAGCATATATTGAAATATTACAAGTTGGTTGATTGCCATAGATTGGATAAAAGCACTGATTTGACTATAAATCAGAGGTTGAGGGCTGTAGGTTGATTCTTTGATTTTTCTATCTGCAACCTGGAATACTAGAATATATCACTTAAACATTTTACAGGAATGAGAAGAATAATGTTGGCTCTTTCAGAGTATGTTTATGAGGTTAAAAGATTTGATTTATGCATAAGGCAATTTGAAATGCTGTCTTTCTTCAGTAGGAACAGAAGGCCCTAGTGCACCAACAACTAGTGGGAAGGAGATTGGGACACCCAGCAAACCCAGCACTAGAGCTACAAGCACAGGAACTTCAGGTAAATCAGGATGTGTGCTTAGTGTCTATGAAATGCATAAAAATATCAAAGCATGTAGGTTGTTGGGTAAATAATGAACACATACAAAAAGATTACATTTTTGCATTGACCTCCCAATTTCTACCTTCAGAGAAACTAGCATTTATTGCAAGCACTGTTAATGCGTTTGTCAGGTACAACAGGAGAGTTGCCGGGAACCACTTCAGGAGCAGTCAGAGACAACACAGCTGGGCAATCCAGCACTGGGGCCACTGGCACTGGAAGCCCAACAGGTATGAGAGACACTTCCAAGGGACTTGTGCTGGGATCTAATACAAGTTGTGTAAGATCTCCAAATGTGAGAATGAGATATAGGAAAGGTAACAATGGAGAATATTGAAGGCAATGATGACAAAATTGAAAGTATGCAGTGTCCTTCAAAGAGTGTTTTCTTCCTAGCTCTCTGTATAGACCTAAGCACCATTCTTCTCCCCATAGCAACAAGAGGAGGAGCTGATGCAACCACCACTGTCTCTGCTAGTGAGAACACATCTGGAACCACAGGTACTGAAGGAGCATAAGCAGGTGAAATCCAGGCAGTCAGTAGACATGAGAGCTTTTTTCCCCAAACCTATTCAGAGACAGTGTTATCTAGGAATCTGACCATTATGGTAGAGGTGTTGCCAATTTCCAGAAAAGCATGAATATATCAAGTCTGAGTTTTGTTCTTAATACATTTTAGAATCACTGTGGATTATCATGAAAGATTAGGGAAATCTAACTGATGTTACACAGTGCCAAGTGGGAAACAGAGAAATTAACAACCATCTAGGTGCAATAAGTAATAAGTTTAAGAGGATAGTAAGATAGTAATTAAGACAATAAGAAGGAAAGCAATCAAGAGGGGAAAAGATGCAAATTGGTTTAAGATAGTTCTAGTGTACAAGGAAAAGGATATCAAACTTTAATCATGATTTTTTGACATGATTAACCCATTTTTAACAACAATAACTTAATTGAAAGAGTACATTCTCAGAATTAACTGATTTGTCTTATTTACCCTGAGAAACGGTGTCAAATGCCAGCGAATTTTATAGGGTAAATCCATCTGTTATTTTAAAGCATATTCCAGATCATTGTTGATAAGAAGTCCCGCCTTTAGGTTTCTTAAACTGACTTATTTTTTTTTCCCTGATAAATCTCAGGCACACCTGGAGCATCATCTGGAACAACCCCTGAAGCTCAAGGTGGTAGCACACCTAGAGAGGCAGGGACTGCAGCCACTGGTTCAGGTAAGGTCCACTGTTCTGGTTGTGATGCATATGCATTTATGATCCATGCTCTTCTGCAGCAGATGCAGATTTGTAAAATCAGGACCTAACTTGGATTAGATTGTTGTACCAAGAAAAGTTATGAGGATTTTTTCCTTCATTTTCTAAATCTGGAGACTCTCAATGATGTTTAGGTTTTGCAGAAATAATATGTATTCTGCAAACCCCATATTCTGCTCTTGGCCCTAAAAACCATAGGAGTTTCTGAAGTTCTCACCAATACTATCCATGGAGAATTAGCTAGAGTAGCCATAAATTCTGCTAGCAGCAAATCAGGTAACCTAGAGGGTGTAGTCCAGGCTTTCATCAGAGTCAAATGGAGGGTGTAAGTGTGTCCCAGTTCTTTGTGGTGAAGAATAAAGCATACAAGGCCAAAACACCTCACCAAGAATTTCTGAGGTAGCAGTGTGTCACCTGGATTAGATGATCTTTCTAAAGTATCACAAAATTGTCCCTCTATGTGCCTATGGTCCATAATGTTCGTGGAATCCTTGATTTGAAGCTTCTGATGCTGTGAGTCTGTAGCAAAGACATAGTGTGCTGTTGTGGTTCAAAATCATATTTGAGTAGAGAAAATTTTTCAACACAGACTCATTGAACATGGAACCTTGGACAAAAGACCATATATATACATATATTTTAAAGCCACAGTTGCTTCCATGTTCAAAATTAGGTCAGAACCACTACTCAAATAAGTGCATACCAAAAATGCACATAGCTGGTGCTATTGTCCATGCCTGTAATCCCATCAGCTCTGGAAGCTGAGGCAGGGGTATTGGGAGTTCAAAGTCAGCCTCAGCAAAAGTGAGGCACTAAGCAAATCAGTGAGACCCTGTCTCTAAATAAAATACACAATAGGGCTGGGGATGTGGCTGAGTGCCCCTGAGTTCAATCCCTGGTATCAAAAAAAAAAAAAAAAAAAGTAGATAAAAATGTATCCTAATTGTAAGCTAATATAATTAATCTCACTAAAAAAGTCTGTCATATAGGTTTTATGTTCAAATTTAGAATTATTGGAACAGAAAAAGAGAAATATATAGACAAGAGTGAAAGGTCTTTTAGAAACTGATCAGCATCATCTACTTAATTAAAAATCTTCATATTTTTCATTGTTTGTTTTGAAAGGTACATTTGAACCAGGAGTTGACAAAACAACCAGAGCCTCAAACAATGAAGTGACATCACCTGAAGGGAACTCAGGTTAGTAGAGAATGGTTTCAGTGGTCCTGATTTTGATCCTGTTTTGAATCAAAGTAGTTCAGATGAATGTAAGGAGACCTAGTTGAGTCAACTCAAGATAAAGAAGTCTTTGTTAAAAAAAAAAAAGCAGTAACTAATTTGAAAGGTTTAAGAAAACATTAAAGTAATAAGCAACTGTGGGTACTATGTCACTGGATGCATTTATTAAAATTTTTAACTCTTAGATGTGAACGGACAGTTAAATTACTCATTGGTAATAAAGTCCAAGTAGACTGTAGGTGAGAAGTTCCTTTGGTATTCTTCCCAGGCTCTACTGGAACTTCAGTTCCCATCACCTCCACAGCTGGAAGTGCAGGCACCACAGGAGGACTGAGCCCCAGCATTACCAGTCCTGGGGGTACATCAGGTAAGCCCAGTTCAGAGCAAGTATATCGGCTTTGGCTAAGCAAATGGTTTCAGGAAGTGCTGCTCAGACAATATTTTTCCTAAACAAATACCTGACTTAGTTGATTTTTCTCATATATAATTAAAATTTAATATCATTAGCGTTTTGATATTAGAATTAATATATAATTAGAATATAATATCATTAAACTTTCAACATGTTGCTTCCTTATAGTATATTACCTTACAAGTACATGTTCCCACTGATTATTACAGGCCTCATGCAGTTTGGTTTGATTTTTGCCATTTGTACAGTTGTATCAATGACTTTCAAGCTTCCTAAGGAACAACTACAGTGTCACCAGGTGTGACTTTAAGAACCCATAGGAATGTCTAAGTGACACAGCTTCCAATCAGGTGAAACAAAGATATGAGTCAAACACCATAATCCAATCAACACGTTTAACTATAGCAATCACCACTCTGAGTACAGTCTAAAACAAAGAGGCCAATTTAATAGTTACACAAGTGAATTCCATGACTTTGTGCAATTTATGTAAGCATTTGCATTTGCATATGAAACATTAATGATACACATTTTGGTACTTTAAAATATCTGATTTACTTTCAAGTATATTCTTTAGTAACATAGTCAGGCTTAACACATTATATGTGTTTATTGTCATGAGATGAGAAAATAAAAGTTCCTAAGCTTACAAAGTCTGGTTAGAACATGAACACTGAATCCTGTTGTGCAATAGCTCCCTTCTCAATGGTGTGACCAGGGTAATAGAGCTTATTTCCATAAAAGCCAAGCAGAATATGCTTGTGGATGTGCATTGATTAAATTCAGCCAGTACAGGACCAGGAATAAAATACTATTGGCAATACTGGACATAGATAATTTAGATTGAAAACAAACATGACTTAATTTCAAACTCTCTCTGATGCCATCAGTTACAAATTTTAAGGACCTCTAAAGTATCTTCCCTTGTAGCCCATTTTCCTGTCTTTTATTCCTGTGGTAAGCCCTTTAACCCAGTCCCTGCATTCCTCTGCTTTGCTTACCTTCCTCCTATAACACCATGGTGCTCACAGTAGGGTTCCTGGAATCCTGTGGGATCTTATTAAAACTCCACCAGCAAAGAATTGGAAATTCTATTGGGTGGGTGGAGCCCTCCAAATTTTAAGGGAATTGATGCTCAAGGTAGAGAAACATATCTCCACAGTTCCCACTCTTTCCCAACTTGACTCCCAGTTTACACTCCATAAATGTCAAGTCAGAATGGCTTTTTTAAAGCTCAACTCTCATCCTGTGTCTGTATTACTTAGAGTGCTTAAATAGTTCTTATTTCTTTTAAGATAATTCAGAAATTTACATAGTATCAGGAGGCCTTTGTCTCATATATGCATATTAGGTCTTATAAATTTATTAAAGAATCTATGAGCTGGTTGTGTTTCTCATACACTCATTTTTGGTTAGCTATTGTTTTGATTTAAAATTCATGATAAATAGTCTTTTGAATAAGCTGTAGTTTTTGAAATTACTGACTTAAACGATATAGAATTTTAACATAATAGTATTTTATTGTTGAATAAAAATCTTGTATGGAATATGGTCTTATTTACTTAAATTTTATATTAGTATTTATTTTATAACATTTTGAAAACCATGCCTCTAGCAGAGATGAGAATAGTAACTTGGCCTGTTGCCAGAGATCTTTGGAGCAGCACTGGTTATAGCATAAAATTAGGGATAGGTGATTCAAGTTTGGCTGTCTGGTTTTCTAGCTTCCAACTGGATGATGAGAGCACATCGCTTAACCATTTTTGATAAGTGAGAAGAATAATGTAGCCGCTTTGAGAGGATGTTTATGAGATTTAAAGGCTTGATTTATGCATAAGGCAATATGAAATGCTTTTTTTAAAAAAAAAAAAAAAACTTAGGAGGAACCACAAGCCCTAGTACAACACCACCTATTGGGGAGGAGAGCACCACAGCCAGCAAATCCAGCACTGGAGCTACAAGCCCAGGAACTTCAGGTAAGTCAGGATGT